CATTAATTAAATTGTTAATAATTAATAAAATAAGAAGGGAATAAAAAATAATTTTTTGATTTTTAATAAACATAATTTTTGGGAAAATAATTAAAAAATATATTTAGAATGTTGCAAAAATAATATTTATTTATTTAAAAGACAATTTTCTCATCTCTTTTTAAAGCTAAAAAATATTTTTAGAAAAGTGAAAAAAGAACAATTAGAAGATTCTCTATTTACTATAATAGTAATTCTATTTTTAAGGACTATTTTCTTTTTCCTTTTTTGTTCAGCCAAAAATGAACTAATCAAGGAAAAACAATATATTTTATAAATTATTTAATGGTCACCAAAAAAGAATCTTGCGTGATTGGCTGATTTTGAATAAATTAAATAAATATATTAAAGCTAAACAGAATATTAAGAGGGTCATTTAAGGTGAAAACATTTATAGAAATTTTACAGACCGGACCTTGGAAATTCTCTTTAATTTTTGCTTGTATTAAAATGAGAGCCTTTTCCCTCTCAAGTATTTATTCTGTTCATTCAATTCTCTTTATTAATGGCGTAAAAAATAAATTTTAATAAATTAAAAAAGCAAAAGGACATTTAATACATTATTTGTAGATATGTACTTGACAAAAACATTTTGCCGTTAAGTATTTCTCCTCAAAAAATGTCAATGCCAACTTTTAAGAATTAAATTTTAAATTGTCTTTCCATTAATAATATGCATAAAAAATAATTTTTAAACAATTAGAAAAAGTAACTTTAAAAAAGAAACCACAACTCAATTTTATAATTTCACAAAAAAAAACAAATACAATATACATACAACAGTTATAACTATATAGGTGTGGATATGTTATAGATACACTATGTTTTTTGGATTTATATAATCAGTACTAATATTACAATGAATTTTTTCTTTATTTGAATTCATCCCCAACCAGAAGTTTATGTTTGCTCACATCTCTCATTTAGACTACAATTGCACGTGACATCTTCCTAGAACGAGCAAGTACATGCATTCGCATGTGTTTCACTAGCGCCGGATTCTTCAGATCCGTTTTGCTGCCATACATTGAGAGAGCAATCCTGTGAAGGTCAGAACAATACTTAGGCATCCTCTAAAATAAAGAAAAAAATTTTCTTAATTAAACGGAAATATGTGTATTTACATCTTGCAACGTCCACATATTAATGATCATCGCACTAGAGGTTATTATGCAAAACAACGAGAACACCATGAAGACGAGCAAAGCCTCTCGTTTACTAAAGCCCGAGAGCAGATCGGTTGTCACTTGCTGAAGAAGAGGCAATTTGTCCAGCGCTTTGTCCCAGTAGGCAGTGTTGAACATGCAGAATATGCTGAGCACAAAAGCGACAGAGAAGATGACGAAGGAGGTAATCTAATGAATAAAACAAAGCATTAAAAAAGTAATAAATTTATCTCATACATGAATCAAGAACATTGGCAACAACATCCATGCTTTCTGCCTGAGACAACCCAACAAGGCCAGTAAGCACATGCACCCAGCAATGAAAAAGCCGAAGAGATGATCAGGAGGGCATTTGCAATCGTATCCGAACACAGCAAGTTCCAACAAGTACATTAACATCATGAAGGACGTGATGCCCTGAAAAAGATAAAGAAGATTATTAGAAATGAAATTTCATTTCTGAATAGTATAGATTTAAAGAGACCCACCAATGCGCGCTTGTATTCGCGAAACTGTTCCAATGCCATTTTGAGTTCAGAAGTCGAGACACAATTACAGCCTTCCCTAGATCCCGTTGTCCTTGTAGTCGTCGTAGTTGTCGTATCGACATTGTATGGAGGAGGAGCAGGATCGACTTCTAGTGTATCCATCGATGTCAATGTTTGTAGATTGAGAAATGGAATACCTAGTTGTGATGATGTATTTTGTAATTTGTAAAATATATTGGCTTTTATACTTATAAATAAAGCCTCCCCCCATCAAATTTAAAAACGTGTAGATGGGAGCGTGTTTGGGAGCGTGTAAATGCGTGGTCCGAGATTTTATATTTTACTAATTTTGTCTTTTTTCAATGTCTGGTCTATCCAAGACTTCTTTGATAAGCTAACAAATATTAAAGAATTATGTGTTTTTAAGAGTTATGCTTGGTAATTTTTGCTAAGAATAATAATTTTTGAGAGTTTTAATTATCCATGGGTTTTAATTAAAAAATTTTCTGCTACATCCCTATTTTCAAACAAGAACGAACAGAAAAAAATTATATGTAATATATTTTGTAGATGAAAATTAATTTTCTTAATTTTTATTTATTTTATTAACACAAAATTTGTTATTAAAAAATGAAATTAAATTTTAATTATAAACAAAGCTAAATCTAAAAATTATTTTCAATTCAATTTTTAGGTTTATTTGTATATTTTTTTAATTTAAAATTAAATCAAAAATTAATATTTTAAAAACAAAACAATAATTCTTATTTATCAACTCTAATTTAAGTTTATACTTTAAGATATTTTGAAATGAGGAATAAAAACTTAGAAATTATTCAACGGTATTTAATATAAATTATTATCAAAGAATTGTAACAAATATTTATTAATTACAGTTTTGGAAAATATTTTGACTCAAGGGAAATCGAGAAATTTAAATTCTGTATTTTTAACATTTTTTAATTCTCTTTCAAGTGTTATCTGTAAAGTTTTGATGATTAACTTACTAACTTAAAAAACTTCAGATTTCAACATGAACTAAAAGGCTTTATTTTTATTATAAACAATTCAAAAACAATCTACATATTTTATCATTAAATTATCACCATTATAATAAGAACAAAGTAAAATAGATATTTTTTTATTTATGAAAAGAATTTCTTTTTATTAAAAATTATTTCCTTTCCTCATCTAACGAGACTTTTTAGACTCTTGTGCTCGAACATGCAGTCGCATATGTTTCATTAATTCCAGGTTATTCGGGTGCGGATTTAAGCTTAAAACGTCAAGAGCGATATTGTGAAGTTCATTGCTATATTCAGGCATCATCTGAAATAAATGGGATTTTTGTTAAAGATCAATAAAGATTATTTTAAATTACTTTAATCAATGTCCAGATATGAGAAATATTCTTAAATCTCTTGATTATGCACCACAACCTCACTACCAAAAGTAACTTCAGCCACTTGGTAAAGCCAAACGAGAACAGTTTTTCTAATATTTGTCGAATCACAGGATATTCATTCAACATGTTACAGTATGTAGTGTTCAGCATACAAATTAAGGTTAAAACAAAGGCCGTCAACGAGAGGGTGAAATAGGAAATCTGAAAGGGAAAAAATAATTTAAAAGATCACTTCAATTAATTCTTACATGCACTACCAATGCTGGATACAACATATAAATTTTCTGCTTGAAACAGCCCCGAATTGCATATATACCCGCGAACACATTAAGGAAACAATACATACCAACAACAATACCATCCATAAACAAATAAGCTATCAAAGGCATCAAAATAATGTAGCTGATGCTGATAGCGATTATCTTAACCTAAATATTTAAATGTTATAAAATGTTATTAACCTTCTTAACCTACCAATAAACGTTCGTAAACACAAAAACGATTTAATGCCTCATTGAACTCGTTTATCGAAGTCGAAAGACAGCTACAACCACCTTTACCCACATTATTACAGCATCTAGAAGTACTTGTAGAACTGGCCGTACTTGCCGTAGAAGCACTAAAGGAAGAGGCAGTCTCGAGATCAAACTCTGGCAGCTGCATCGAAAACTTGTAGAAATGAAGAGATGAGACTAATCTTAAACTGGATATTAATTTACACCTAAAAGATTCATCAGCTTTTATATTAGAAACTTTTTATTATTGAACTAAACTCAAAAAAGATTGTTATTTTACTCAATGTCGCATGCATCTAAACCTTAAAATAACTTAGGTATAATAAATTACAAAATCCTTCACATATGTATTTAAAAATTATTTTATCCAAATTAAAATTCAAGTTTTAAAGAAATAACCACAAAAATATTAAAATAATCAAAATTAAAAAAATATTTCTTTCAAATCTACAATTCCAATGATTATTAAATTCTTTCTTTATTTCATTAAAAATAATTAATTTTGCCTCTCTTTTATTAGAAAAAGGTCCACAAATACGAAATTGTGCAGGAAATAAAGGATAAAACCAAATAGCAATAGCTAATTGAAAATCAGAAAAAGCAAGTTTATAAATGGGAGGTGTAGTAACACCAATCATTTCTGCAAGTTCTAAACAAAATTGAACATGATCCTCCTAAATTTTACAAAATATTTCTTTATTAATTAATATTTTCTTTTTTACAATTTGTGTATGTCTTCGAGTTTTTATATAATTAACAGAAATATTACAACGCCTCTTTTCTAATTCATCTTTCATACAAAATGGGGAAGGAAGTTTAACATTTCCACTAAATACTTCAAAAAATAAACGAGATTGTAATTCAGCAATTGGCCATTTAGAACCAGCAATTGGCTAAAAAAAATAAGAATTTTTGATTAAAATTTAATAAATGTATAAAAATGCCTGAACATGTCCAATTACAGCCAAACTATTGTGAGGTGTTAATTCTGGTATAAACATGTGCTTGTACTTAAATTAGGTAAGTTTTTAAGGATTAAAAAGAATTTTAATGTTAGATAGGTGTTTAGAAAGGTATCGAAAGTAGAGATGCCCCTTACAATAACTTCGAACACTTTAATAAAGTAGCAGTGGGCGCTATAGCTATTTCTCTCCTTCAGCTAGTGCAAAAGATTATTCAGCGGCTGGGAGCGAACCAGCATCTTCGTAGACCGGACTGATGTGTAAAAAAAAATTGTCGAATTAATAAATTGTCGAATTAATATATCCAGTACAAAGAATAATATAATCAATTACACCAACCCCCTACATTACACCAACCCCCTACTGCATAGCCTTAGGAATTAAATAGCTAGATGCTTTACAATAAATCCGTTAGATTTCCTTTTTTATATTTTTAGTGATAATAAAAGAAAATTCACCAAATGAAAGTCATTGTGATGTGTAGCTATTAATTTTCCATTTTCAACAAATTCAAAATTAAATTCATATCCAGTACAAAGAATAATATAATCAATTTCCTTTTCAATAGTTCCATCAACAAATTCAACTTCATTTCCATCAGATAAAGACCAAATATCTGGCTTAATCCGGACATTTCCTGTTGCAAAATGTAAAGACAATTCTGTACCAAATCCTAATTGAGTACTAAAAAATTTTGAAATTAAAGAAAAATTGGCTTTCAAAAACCTAAATAAATTATGAACAGGGCAATAACCAGCCCCTTTTATTGGATGAACAGGAAGCAAAGATAATGAATTGCTCGTATTTTGTGCAAATTTACTTCTCAAAAATTTGGGAATAAATTGTCGAATTAATGAATTCCATCGAGTATTAAAATGATCACAAAAAGATTTTCCTTCCTTACAAAATTTGTTTAAAAGCCAACCACCACGACGGGCTGACAATAAAACCTGAAAGGAATATTTAATAGTTAATCTCTATATAAGGTGTGCCGTTCGCTTTCTTAAATGTTTAGGCACACATGTTTCGGTATAACGTCAACCCTCGGGCTGAATTTTGCCGACGTAAAAAAGGGGCATAACGTGGGAGAGGACGACGTTATGGAGAACTCATTTACAGTGATTATATATATTTTACCTGTCTGGCTATAGGAGCAAGAGCTGTTGCTATTTCTACAGCAGAATATCCAAATCCAACCAAACAAATATTTTTATTATAAAATTTATTTAAATCACCAATTTTATCAGAATGTATTATTTGTCCCTTAAATTAAAAAAATTTTTTTTTACAAAATTTAGTCAACTTTAAATCGTTTTTCAAGTCTCCATTCAGGTGGTCGCCAACTTTTAGGGTGCATTCCAGTACAAATAAGTACAGCATCAAATTCTTCTTCAAATATTTTATTTGTTTTTAAATCTAACCAAGTAATTAACCAATGACCTTTAAAGGGGTTATTTTCAATTAAATACATTTAAAAACCATTTAATTTCCATTCATTTGATCTTTTAATTTGTTTAACTTCAGCTCTCAATTTAAGATATTTTGACAAACAAAATTTCTTCATATATCTCTTTAAATAAACAATAACATCACTTGGACGTAAAAATAAAGGAAAATCTTCAGGAATTGGAAATTCACTAAATGAACATATTCTTGAAGTTATTAATGAACTAAATGGTGGAATTGGTTGCCCTTTAAAAATAAATTTTAAGAATATTATTTTAAAAACATTTAAATACTTTCAGCATTTGGATCCAATGCCATTTGCCAAACACCTCCAATATTTTGTTGTCTATCAAAAATACAAACATCATGGCCATATTGCTGTGCTTGTCTGAAATTTTTTATTTTTTAAAGAACAAAATTCTTGTTTATTTATCCAAAAAATAATAATTTTTCAATTTATTTGAAAAATATTTTTTTACTTACCTAGCTGCTGTCAAACCACAAGGACCTGCTCCAATAACCGCAACTCGTTTATTTTCAAAAAACATGGGAATTGGCCAAATAACATTTGGATCGTTGAAGAAAATAATTATTTACTTGTAGAAAAAGACGATCGCTACCCTAACACAACACGCGCAACTTTTATTTCTTTTAGGAATTTCTCTTTGCGGAACCGCCTTTTTTCTTTATCAATTAAAAGTAACTCTATTTATATATTCTATAATTTTAAGTGTTTAATAAATATTATTAAAATGATAAATTCTTTTTGCATTTCACTTCCGCCCTTTGCAAATATTGTATTTATTATTGAATTTTTAATTTATCAAAAAATTAATTAAACCAAATTAAGTCAAAATTAAGTTTAAATAATATTTTTCAATCAGCAAAATACAAATTTATTTCCATCCCATTCCAATTCATTAAAATTAGTTGGCGCAATTATTGAAGACTTTTCTTTTTCCAAAGCTTCGTTTATCCCATTGCAATGATTGCGACCAGTTACATGAAGTTGTAATAAATTTGTTGTATTTGAATTGAAAGTGTTTTTGATAAATTGGAAAATCTAAAAATTTATTAAATTTAAAGAAAATAAATTAATAAAAAAATAATGTTCAAAATCTTATTTATTTTTTGAGAAAATGCTAGAAAAACATAAAAAGAAAATCTGTTAAACTTACAAATTCAACTGCAGTAGGAAGAATTGGTCCATGTTCTAACTCTAGAATATATTTAACTTTGGCAGATTTTTTGACTAGTTGTGAAGTCATCTTTAAATAAATTGTTTGTTAATTTTTAAATTAGTTTTGAAGAAAAATTACCGAAAGTTCATTTAAAACAGAATGTCTAAAAGGGGAATGTGCAATTAGTGTTGGAGGAAGTCCATTTTGCGGGCCAGTTTTTGTGCAGACTAATTGTGGCTGACTTAAAAGTAAATTGTGAAAAGCTGCAGCATCTTTCGCTCCTCTAAACAAAATTGTTTTTTAATTTAAAAAATATTCTTCTTTCATTACTTTATCACAATTGCAGAATGCAAAGGGTCTGTGGGAGGTGATCCGTGTGTACTCATTCGAGTAGTTTCAGTAGTTGGCAAACGATTAGAAGACAAACTTAAATCTGACGAATCAAATTCTGAGGCACTTAAATAATAAAAAATAAATAAAAATATTATAATTTTTCAAACTTTTGTCTTAATCGAAAACTTCCTTTAGAAGAAATTCCCATATTTTCTAGCCACTCTTTGTGATCTAGCTCTGCTGTACAATCTTCTTCATTGGGTAAAAAATCTTTAGGGGATTCCTCTCGAGTTAAATCAATATATTCTGACTTGAAATGACGTGTAAAATGAATACCTTTAAATAATTTAGTAAAAATCTTTTTAAATATTCAGACCATTTTTCTGCAGAATCTGTCTGAAACCTGAAGTCGTCGGTGTTATAACAATTCTTGATTGAAAATTATTTTTAAAATTTGAGGTTCCCAGATTTGCAAAATTTTTATTTGGAGATTGATAAATATTTGTAGTATTCTTCATTGGGGTTCTTTTTCTTTTTGGTGTTGGATTTTTGTTAAGAGGAGAAGCTTCACAATTATTCTTTTGTGGTGTTTTTAATTGTGAAATAGGTGAATTTAATGAAGACAAATTTTTATTATATAAATTAATAAAAATAACGGTAAATTGTGTCGAACAAAGGTAGAAAAATCTGCGGTTACCATCAATCCAGCGATTGAATAAAAATTTAAACGATTCATTCCTGATAGAAAGAAAAATATATAAAAACTTGATATCTTTAACAAACCAATTAGTTTTTAAAGACTCAATAAAATTTGGTTCAATTGATTGTAAATTTGCACTTTTCAGAGTACTTTTTGTCCCAACATTTCTTCGAGGATATAATTGAACAGAACCAATGGATGGAAACTGATAATAAATAGCGGCAGATTGAAGATAAACCAATGGATCAAAAGAATTTGCAGAAATCTAATATTATAAATATAATGAATTAATAGATTAAAAAGGCTCACAAATGGAGAAAAATTGTCAAATTTTCTTGTTAAATCCATTGCTTTATCGAAATGATCGGATAAAATGTGTGGATCGAGAGGATAAACACCTAAAAATATTAACAATATTTTTAAATACTTACTAAATTAATTTAAAAAAACCTGAAGAAGTTATGGTCTCCATCCACGGAAAAGGCAATTCTGAAATAATTCTCAATTTCGTTCCCAAACGTAAATCATTTGGCAGATTTAACGAAGTAGATTTACTGTTACTTTGCGAAGTCGTCGCCACTAGACTAGTTTTATCGTTAGCTTGACTATGACAATTTAGGTGAGAAAAATCGATTGGAAAATCATTAAATTGCTGAAAATATGTAAATATTTAAGTAAATTTATATAATTAATAATAAACTTTTTCGACTAGCTTTACATATGCTTTATCAATCATATTTGGTAAATCGAAGGCAGAACGCGCATCTGAATCATCCCAATCAGGTGGCAATAAATTCTGGTTAATGTTGGGAGAATCAAATTTAATAAACTTGTTAGCATCAACATGTTCTCGAAGTTTTAATCTTTTATTTGGAGATTTATTAACCTTAAATTTAACTTATAAATTAAAAACTAAAATAAAAATTAACCGAATAATTAGACTCGTATGCAAATTCGTTGTGTTGTAGAGAAGCAATAACAGAACAGGATTCTTGTATGGACAAAGACTCTTGCTCAAATAAATTTTTAAGTGATTTGCTAAAAATTTAAAAAATTTAGATATAAACATAAATTAAAAAAAAACAAACCAGCTCCTGCGTTTGCTAAAGAGTCGCTTGGCTGCTTCTTTTGATTTTTCTCCAAAAGGAGAATAATGTAATCCTTTCTTTTTGCCGGAATGTCCTACCATTTACTATACAATAAATACAACTTAAAGTTAAAATTTGTAAGAAATAACTTTGTATTAAAAAATAAAAAATTAGTAGTTTGAAAAAATTCAACAATTAGGCGCAAACATGATAAAATTTAAAAATAATTTTAGCGGTCATTTTGTGAGGGCAAGACACTAGGGCGCGGTCGGGACACGCACAAGTAGGGCCATAACTTGCTAGAAAATTTTTTCTGGTCCTTATCAATTTTGGTACCAGTCTCTTTAGCTCGATGAGAGGAATCGTTTAATACTAAAATTGGTAAGAATTGGAAATCTTGAAGCAGGTTATGGCTTTGCGCCGTTATGGCCGCGCGCCTACTTGGGCTGTACTCGGCGCGGGCCACTATGGCGCGTCATTTCTAAATTTTTTAATTTTTTTTACAATTATGAAAATCTCATACAAACTATCAATTTTTTAAGCAGTTGTAACTTTAACAATGTCTCGCAAACTCAAAGCTAGAAATCTCAACCAGTTAGAAACTCAAAATGATAACGAACAAATTGTGCAAGATAGAGGAAATGAAATGCATGTTGATTTACCTGCACGACTCGATGATAATGAAGATTTACTTAATATGGAAATTCCGCCTCTTATAAAATCTATTACATACAAAGAAGGGTGTGAGCGTTTGGTGATTTCGCACATTCAAGTCGATAACTTTAAATCTTATTTTGGAAAACGAATTATTGGACCATTCCATAAGGTCTGCGATATTTTATTATAAACTTTATCTTCATTTTCTAATTCCAGTGCTTTACTTCAATAATTGGGCCAAATGGAAGCGGGAAAAGTAATGTAATTGATGCCTTGTTGTTTGTATTTGGTTACCGTGCTTCTAAAATTCGTTCGAAAAAGGTCAGTGTCCTCATCCATTCTTCTGCTGGGAAAGATGATTTAAATAGTTGTACAGTTGCAGTTCACTTTTGTAAGATAAACGACAATGTAAGTCTGAGAAAAGGTTTTTTTAAATAACTCCCATCTTCAGCTTATTGGTAATGGTTACACAAAGGTTCATGGTTCGGATATTGAAATTTCACGGACTGCATATAAAGATAATACTAGCAAGTAAAATAATTTTGAAAAAGAAATTCATAATTAAATATAAATCTAGATATACACTTAATGGGCGAACAGTGAAATTCAAAGAAATTGGCGATCTTTTACGTGCAAATGGAATTGACTTGGTTCACAATCGTTTTTTAATCTTACAGGTTTAAAAACTTCTAAAAATTTTTGACTTTTTAATTTTCTAATTAGGGAGAAGTTGAGCAAATTTCAATGATGAAACCTAAAGCTGAAACGGAAGATGAGGAAGGTATGCTTGAATATTTGGAAGATATTATTGGTTCAAGCCGGTTAAAACCGCTTGTTTTGAAACTTCATAGACGAATTGAACAGTTAAACGAGCGTCGAGCTCTACAACTTCAGCGAGTTCAACACGCAGAGAAGGAGAAAAATCAATTGGATGGGCCAGTCCGAGAAGTGTTAAAACTAATGCGTCTGGAGAATGCTTTGACTTGTTTGAACAACAAAATTTTGCTTTCAAAAAGGTAATTGGGGAAACACAAAAAATTTTTGGTTTGAAAATCTAATTAAAAAATAAGGTCAATCAATGTTCGTTTTAATTAAATTTTTAATTGAAGATTGTTACTACATGAGCAAGCAGTCAAAATTAAAAATCAGAAAAATCAATTAGAAAATGAGCTTGCTGTTTATCAGCAACAACTTAATGAAATTCTTCAAATTGCTAAACAAATTTCTAAGGAACGTCAAAAGCTTCAAAAGTTTTTTCCTTTTTCTTTCGATTCACCGAAAACATATTTTCAGCATTCTCGACAGATGCGACGATGCTGTCCAATCAGTCAGAAAGAAAAAAGCTAATCAGGAACAAGTAATAGTTAAAGCAGAAAATGACTCGAATAGACATGAAAGTCGCCGCAATAAATTAATGAAGGATATTGAAAATGAAAATCAAAGGGTTTTGAATATGGAAATTTTACATATAACATATTTTTATATAGGTTGAGGAACTTGAGTCTGTGCCTGAACGTTCTAGAGGAAAGATTGAGGCTTTTCGTAATCAGCTCGAAGAAATGAATGCACAAATTGAAGTTATTTGCTGGTTATTATTTAAAAAGTTATTTTTTAAATTAGGAGTTTTCACCCATTTTGATGGCGAAGTTGCAAGAAGTACGTGAAGCTTTGAAATCTGAGGAACCAAAGAAAGCAAAATTGGAAGAGGAACTTGGTGAACTTTCAATTAAAGAGGATTCATTGAATAGTAAGGTAAGTATTTATAATTCTTGGTTGCATTCTTCTTAAAAATTTTTAGTTAACTTTGGCTCAGCAACGTCTTTTAAACCTTCAAAGTGAAGAAGAGGAACAGAGACAAAAATTCGATGCTTTACAAGCAGATTTGCTTAGAACTGAGGAGACTGTCTCAAGCCGAGAGAAGTTAGTTCATCTTTGGAAAATTTTATTTATTTTTAAATATTTTCAGAAAACTTCAAACAGCCCAAGCCCAGCTTCCGGACCTTGAAGCCACATTTGAAGGGAAAACTTCAAGACTGGCTCATTTACACGAACAGGAAGCTCGGTTCACTGGACGAATACGTGAACTCAGACGAAAATATGAAGAGCAGAAACAAACTGAGGAATGTTACACTAGCGCTAATAAACTTCTAAATCGAATAATGGAGGCAAAACGTAATGGAGAAATTCAAGGGATATTTGGACGTTTGGTTTGTTTTGATTTCGTTGAAAAATCTATCGATTAAAAATATTTTTAGGGCGATTTGGGTGCTATCGATGAAAAATACGACACTGCTATTTCTGTAAATTTTCCGCAGCTTGAATATATTGTTACCGACACAATTCAAACTGCCCAACAATGTATTGAATTGTTGAAACGTGAACAACTTGGCGTCTCTACATTTATTGCACTTGACAAACAACAACAATATTGGCGAAATATTTGTGCAGTTCCTAAGACACCAGAAAATGTTCCTCGACTTTTTGATTTGATTCGTGTTAAAGATGAACATGTTTGTTTTTTGATTTTTTGTTTATAAGTCTACGAATTATAACTGAAGTTTCATAAATCTCTCTTAAATACTAGTTAGATTTTGTATGCTAATCATTATTAAATAAAGGTTCTTCCTGCTTTTTATTATGTTCTGGGTGAAACGCTTGTAGCGGATGATATTGTCGCTGCTACACGTATTGCAATGGGTAGTGAGCGTCGTTGGAGAACCGTTACTCTTAAAGGCGAGGTAAATACATTTTTAATTTGTTTATTTCTATTATTTTTTCTATTAGCTTGTTGACGTTTCTGGTGCAATGACAGGTGGTGGAACTGTCCAAGCCCGGTATGTATTACATTAAACGTATTTTATTAAGTTTTTCATTTATCTTTTAACATTACAATATCATTTTACTTTTAAGAAGCCGAATTGGTCGTGAAGTTGTCGTTGTTACCAGCCAACAATTAGATAATCGTCAAGAAGCCTCAACACAACAACAATTGGCAGAATTACAGCAAGAATTAAACAACGCAGAGGCAGAGTTGACCAACATTAAACGCCAACATGCACAACTTGAACCTGAACTTCAGAAACGTAGAGATGATTTAAAACAGATCAGACTGTCGATTAGAGAAATGCAACTAGAGATTGAGGTTTTTTCTTAAAAATTTGGTTTTTGGATTTTTTGGTTAAAAATTTTATTTTTTAGAATTCAAATATACGAATAGTTGACCTTAGGAAGCAAATTGAGATACAAAAACAAAATGTTGTGAATGCATCAGCAAACCCTGAGGAAGTTAAAAATGTTAAAGCAGAAATTACTTCTCTTACTTCAAGTATGTTTTATTTTTTATTAACCCTAGAATAAAATTATTTAAAAGAAACTACTGAAATTGGCAAGCAAACTGATAAAATTCGCTCATCTCTTATGGCAATAAATGCTCGGATGGAGGAGGTTGATGAGAGAATTGCAGGTCCTCACAGAGAACGTTTACGTGAAGCAGAGGACCGTAAGAAAGAAGCGGAAAATGGAATTACTAAAGAATCGGCAGCAATTATAACAAGTGAAAGAAATTTGAAAAAGTCGCGTGCTAAAATTGCAAATTTGGAGAAAGATGTTATGGTAATTTAATTTAATATTTTTATTCAAAATTAATTTCTTATTCGCAGGATGTAGAGAAACAATTCGAATTGTGCACAAAAAGTATTTCTTTGGCTAGAGATCGTTTAGTAGAATATGAAACACAACTTGTGCAATGCAATGAAGATCTAGATTTAGCTAAACAAAAATTAAATGAGTTTATTAGTTCGGTTAGTGATAATAATGAAAGAGAAGTCGAATTACAAAGACAAGTCAGTCAATTGCAACATGAAGTAAAACGTCTTACTGGTGAATTGGCAACACTAGAGGCAAAATTGAAAGCTTTGTCTTCAAAGGTATATTTTTTTTATATTTTTCCCTTGATGCTGATATTTGTTTTTTTTTTAAATTTAGCTTTCAAAATTGCGACTCTATAGGTTGAAACGATTGACAGATGCTCTTTCTAAACATATAGAGCCTTTAATTTTACCTGATGAAGATTTTGATGAATTAGTGGATGATGATGTTGAAGAAATGGAGCAGGATGAGAATTTGAATGTTAATGAACAATTACCTAAACAAAAGTTACAACGACAACTTTCATCAGCACAAAAACGTCAACAGCAACAACAAAATATTTTACAACAACAGCAAGAAGAGGCAAATGATGGGTTGGATTCTTATCTTGAAGAATGTATTGAACAAGAGGAAACGGAAGCAGCTGATAGAATTGAATTGGAAAGGGTGATTTTTAAACTTCATTTAAACAGAATACTTTTTAATACTTTATAAACTTTAGAAAAATATTCAGATTGAAATTGATGAAAACTCGGGACCGGTGGACGAACCAATGGAGCAGGACTTAGTTGACGACGATGTAATTGATGCAAATCTTACTACCACTCCTGCTTCTCAAAATTTATCTCATCTCCAGTCACCAAATGATCGTCGTCCACATAATTCTGCTGCTAAAACGAGAACAAATCCAGATTCTCAAATGATAATACAGAATTCACAATGTTTTATTCCATTACCTCGCTATACGGATGAACGGATTAGGGAATTTTGCGTCGACGATTTGGAGACAGATCTAGCAACATTGGAACAGCGAAGAGCAAAGCAACGAGTTAATTTGGCGATTGTTATGGATTTTATGCAAAAGGTGTTTTTTAATATTAATTGGAATTTAAAAATTATTTTAAAATTAAAGTTGGATCGCTACGAGGCGGAATTTAACCGTCTTTCTGAAATTACTTCACTTCGTGATCGCCATCGTGCTTTGCATGATAAATTGAAGAAACAGCGTCTTTTTGAATTTATGGAAGGATTTCAAGAGATTGCCACACTTCTCCGCACTACATATCAAATGATTACTATCTTGGGAGATGTTTCACTTGAATTGGTAGATGCATTAGATCCATTTTCTGAAGGAATTGCATTTAATGTTCGACCACCGAAAAAATCTTGGAAACAGATATTGAATTTGTCTGGCGGTGAAAAAACTTTGGCATCTCTTTCTTTGGTAAGTTTACATTTAGTTTGATATGAAAAAATGTCTAAACTAAAATTTGGTTTCCTTTACATTTGGTTTGAGGTTGTTTGAGAATTTTCCTTTATGTGTCGAACTCTATTTTACTTTGATGTTTTTAAATATACATTTTACAGGTTTTTGCCCTTCATCATTATAAACCAACACCACTCTATGTGATGGATGAAATTGATGCTGCGTTGGATTTTCGAAATGTTTCTATAATCGCTAATTATCTTTTGGTAGACTTGAGTTTTAAATTTAAAAAAAATAAATTTTTATAGGAGCGTACACGTAATGCTCAATTTATTGTTATTTCACTTCGCAATCAAATGTATGAAAAATCGGATCGTTTAATTGGAATTTACAAAATTAATGATTGTACAGGAAATGTATGTGTGGATCGACATGTTTTTGAGAATAAACGTGAGTTAAAGTATGAACAATTAAATACATGATTTCTTTTTTTTGCTTTAAAAATATACAAAATATCTCATCAATTTTTGTCACTTAATTTTTTTGTTTAAATTGTATTTTAAAATACTTACAAATAAAAATTCAATATTTTTTTGACATTGATAATAATGCTCGCTTTTTTTAGAAATCTTTCTAAATTTATTTAAATGAGAGGCCTTTTCTTTCTAATAAATTAATCTTCCAACATAATTTTATTAATTATGAAGAGAATAAAGTTGCCCATCGTGTAATTACATTCCCTGGTTGCCCCGTAGATTGTCGCCAATGTTCTCTTCCAGCTTCCTCAATTGCCAATTCCCCTAACACACAGTAACCAATTTCGACGTCTGGTATTCCTCCTGTACATGTATTCATTACCGAAATCACAATTGTTGCGTCTTGAATTTCTGATGAAGCTATTTGGAATTCAAAAACTTCATCAAAAACTGGGGCAATTGAGAAACGACGACCATCTTTTGGCCGGCGTGGGCCGGAACGCTTTTCAGGCCTCTGGGCTTCTCGTAGTAACCAAGCAACGATATATGGGGCTATAAAAATATTTTTTGACAAGAAAATAAATTATCGAATGCCTGGCACTTTTACTCCGCTTGCACGAATAACACCAATATTTAGCTGCCCGTCTGCTGGTGAATATCTTAATGATATGAGAAGTTGCCCAAGTTGTTCTCCTCGCCAAAGATTCAACTATAATTTTTAGAATAATTTTATAAAATTATATCAATTACTTCTGCGCTTTTTCTTCCGTATGAGAGATTTGTGGGTGGAACTTTTGCACCCCCTCTACCCAAATCCATAGCTGCTGCCGAAATAAATACTTGTCCAGGCCCACCAAGTGCATGCATTAAAAGTCCAATACCACGTAATCGGGAGAATGAGTGGGGGCCTAAAAAATAATTTTAATTCATTTTTGATTCAAAAAACTTGCCATGTAATTTTGTAATATCATCCCATTCATCACTTCCTTTTGTACTTGCTCTTCTACGTGTTATTGGCAAAGGTGAAATAAATCCCCTTCCATTTCCTCTACCAGGTGAAATAATTCCTCTACGGTCAGCCAAAGAAAGTGAACGTTTAACGTTTTGGCAATTCGGAGCGCTTGAATGGCGGCCCCGTTTAGAGCCGGGTAATTGCATAAAGCCATAAAGTGCATGACAAGCAGCTAATCTATCCATTTAAAAAAATTTTTTAAAGCTGAAAATAAAAGAAAATATTAAAAAATAAATATAATGCATATTTATATTTTCGCGTGATACCAAAATAATCAAGAAAAAAAGTTTCCAAAAATATATCAACTAAAAATGGATATTTGTAAAATATTTAAAAAATTGATAAAAATGTTTTAAAGAAAATGTTAAATAAAAGTAATTACTAAAGGATTCATAAATAATTATATATTCTTTTGTTAATTATCATGCTTTTATTTTTTTGTTACATTATTAAACACAAAAAAAGAATAATTTAAATAATTATGTAAATTATTGGAAAAGAGAAGAAAGTAAAATAAAGGCTTCGAAATTTTCTGAATCTTCCAAAAAGAGGAATATTAATATAGAAATTAATAAGTAGATATACCTATTTTGAAATGCCTCAGTATTCCCAACGGGGATAAAATTAACAAAGAATTTAAGAAATAAACGAGGAATTAAGGAAAGGGATTATTTAATTTTAGTTTTTTTGTGATCAAGAATAATTTTTGAATTGTGTTAAATTTAACAAAAATTTTATCTAATTTTTTATGATGAGAAAAAAATTTTTTTTGAAAATCAAACTCTGAGTTGTTAATATATTTTTGGAGTTTTTGCAATTATTTTAAATATCGCATTCTTTTAAAATAAATTTTTAAAACTATTTTTGTATAATAATTTTTGATTATAAAATATTCTCTAAAAATTTGTCGTCATTCCACGGCTTTATTTTTAGCTTTTAATATTATTGGAAATATAATATTTAGAAAAATGTTATTTTTAATAATATAAATAGTTATTTTGAGACTAAAACCTTATATATTTTAGTTGCTTTATTTAAAAACCAAAGATTTTTAGAATACTTTAGTTATAAACTAAAATAAAAGGGAAATGGTAAAATTTGTATAATTTTTATTATTAAATTATTCTACTAAATTATTTTACTAAAATAATTGTAAAAAATAATTTTTTTGTTAATTAAAATTTTTTAATTAAAATTTCTATTAAAATAAATAATTATTTAAATAAAAAAGGCAAAATAAATAAATAAATATTTTTATATTCACTCAAGAAGAAATAAATATTTATTTATAAATTGTCTCTAACCCCAACCCAATTTTTATAACAAAAAAAGCTTTTTTCCTCTCTTGTTCAACCATTAACTAACAACAAAAAAATGCCGAAAGAGCAGAAAGGCATAAAAAGACCAAAAACAGAGAAAGTATGTAAGTATATTTTGTTGTTGTTAATTTGTTAAATATTTTTTTTGTCTTTTTACATATTTTCTCTTTTAAAATAAAATACAAAAATCCCCTCCCTACTCCACTTTCTCTTGAGGAAAGAAACTAACTAAATATTTTATAAAACATTTGACTCAAGAATGAAAAAAAATAAAATGGCACAATTAAAGGCCCCAAGTGGCGATAATCAACAACAAAAAAATAATGAATAAATGGAAGTTTTAAAAAGAGGAAAAATATTTTTTAAATAAATGAGAGTCGAGATTAATAAAAATAAATGTTGTTATAAAATTTTAAAAAATATTCTGGTATTCGTTTTAAGAATAAAATAATTATTGGATTTTATTGAGTATCTCAATTAGATTATAAATAAAATAAAAAATTCAAATATATTTTATTAAATTAAATTTGTGTAGAAAATAATGAAGTAAAAATTATATGAAAAAAAAAATATATTTTTTTGATTAAAGAAACCAATGAATTTTTAAATTAAATTACTAGAAATGTATAAATAATAAATTAAAGAATTTTTTTCATTTTTTTCTTATATGTATTTTTTAAGAAATATTAAATAACTAAATAATAATTTAACCAGAAATTTTTAATAAATATTAAATTAAAATTTCCATTTTGAGAAAATCAATTAAATTTTTGATTAAAAAATTTAAGGTAATTTATTTTCTTTTAATTAATTTGACGGAATAAGCCAACTTTAAATTTAAATTCAAAATTAAATAATTTATAAATTTAAAATTTTTTTGGAATATAATACCTATTTAATTAAAAAATTATTTTAGAAAAAATTGTAGATATTGTGGAAAATATTATTCAACAATTTAATTAAAAAACCAATTTTGAAGTCATTTCTTTAATTTAAATTAATTTATTCAAAAAATTTATTTTAAGTAATAAAAACATTAAAGTATTAAATAACTTTTTATTATATATTCCTTTTTTGTTTACAATTTTACTAAAAAGGAAATTAAAAGTTTTTCTCAATGTAATTTTAATTTAAATAAATAATATTTTGAATAATTCGGAAGTAAAGATATTTTTTGTAAAAATTATTTAAAAATCTGATACTCTCAAGCATTAAAGAATGGAAAAATAAAATGAATATTTTGACTTTAATTTGAAAAAATTAAGCGTTTAATTATAATAATTCAGATATAAGGTATCAAGTATCTTATGTCTGGAGTCTTGAAGAGATTCAAGCAAAGTAGAAATGAGAAATGTACAATGTGCAAGCAAGGATCAGACGAAGGAGATGGCTAAAATTTTTGAATTTTCAGAAGGCCAAGAAGTCAATGGAGGAAAAAATCGGAGTTTTTAAAATTCCCAAGGCGTCTAACTTCTTATGCTATTAAATAATAATCTTTAAATATATATAATTTATCTTTAAATTTTAATTTATTAAATTTACTTTTCAATTCTTTTTTTTCCATTAAAATATATTCTTCATCTTTTAATAACACAAAATAGCCGGTTGACGCCTTCACAAAACAATTTAACACACAAAATATATCCATCCATCCACATCCCTTTAACTTGTTAGTATATCCTCTAAAACCAATCGAAATCACCAAAATATTTTTCTATTTTTCTCTTTTCTTATACGGATCAACAAACATAAAGTCCACAAAATTGGGTCATTCACTTTATCTAAAATTATCCATAATCTCTTTTTCTCTCGCTTTCCTTCACATAAGGTGATAAAAAAGATATATTCGAAAGATAATTTGCGCGGGGTATTTTCTTCTGTTAAATTTTAACTTTTCTTTATATGAATGTTGACATTTTTGTGTTTAAATGAATGCCAGGAATGGATGTGAAATGATAGACAATAAAAAAGTGTTTTTAATTTTTTTTACTTTTTTTATCGAAAAGCGAAAATCGCCTCTCCACTAAATTTTCCTTTTTTGTACTTTTTCCTTTTCTCTTTTTCTTTTCCTAAAAATAAATTTTTGTAATTAATTTTTAAAATTAAAAAAATATTTTTTAAAGTTTTAAAAGAAATATTTAAATTAATTTTTTATAATTTTGAAATGGCCGTAAGGCCAACCAGCAGTCGGCAATTTGACAAAAATAATAAAAACAATAATAACAACAATAATAATTCTGAAAAGCAAAGAGTTGTTGAATTTAATATAAAAGAGGAATCTTCTGATAAATCTTCTGATTTATTAAATACAAAAACAGAAAATAAAAAAGAGGAAAAATATTTAAAAAGAGAATTAGCCTATAGAAGTATTATTTTATTTAGTTCTTTATTTAGTATTAGTGCACTTCTTTGCCTTTGTGCATTACTTCCATCATTATATAGCCATGTTAATAGTTTGGCTGGATTCGCTAGAAAAGATTTTGCTTTTTGTGAAGTAATTTTATTAAATATTAAAAATCCCTCGACCAACTAAGGAGAGATTTAATTTAAAAAATATGAATTATTATTTCTATATTTATTCTCAATTTATTACCCAAATTTTGGTGAAATTTTCTTGTGTCTGGTCGAGATATTCTGAAACAATTCGAGATATTCTGATTAATTCAACTACTTGG